GGATGTAATGATCCCATATAGAAAGACCATAATGAGATGTCAATAACAATAACAATAACATTCATTCTTAAACCGTGTATGTCTTGTAGCACAACATTCAGGGGAAAATGTAGTTCTTATTAAAGATAGCTGTGGCACCTCAACGTGGCTGATGTAACCTTCATATGTTTTCATATTATGTTATTATTTAAATGTATGCCTTATACTTGTATGAAGGATGATATGAGATCAAGACTGTACATAAAGTAAATGATCAGTATTTAATATAAAGTACCAATAAGAATTATATTTAGGATTATCAAATGGAAGATTTAAGAAGTGTAGATAGAGTCATATATTAAGTATATAGCCTCGATCACGACACCGGGCAAAATCTGATGCATAGACGTTCATATTATTTTCATAATCTTCGACTTCATTTTGATCGCCAGTACTTTCCATATTAACATTCTTTGAAAGAGGTGGTAATACAGATTTTTTACCAATCTCTAAATCAACGTGCTTTTGGTTATCATAACGCAAAAACGACTTGTCAACAAAAACAACTTTGGGAAGGTCATTCTTGATTGATTCCAGAGTCATGGCTTGTTGATAACCATCTATTGCATGAAGTAAGTAGTTGAAACGGTTTATGTGAACGATGGAGACTTTAACGATGACATTGCTTGACAAATCAAAGGATTTTCCCACTATTCCATATGCTGCTACACCCATAGATGACCACAAAAAAACGTATTGACCTACGGATCAAATATTAATGATTTTTTCGTTGATATTACTTGTTGTATCATAAATCTCCAAAGCCGCCCATGCGTCAAATGCAGCGTTGTTGTGATCGAGGCTATATACTTAATATATGACTCTATCTACACTTCATTAATTTTCCATTTCACCCTGAAACTTTTTACCGGTCTAAACATATTTTGGACCGATACCGCCAGTATCGGTGCAATTTTTAGAAATTACGGATACCGCCGGTCTTTTTTAAAAACTGCACCGATACCGATTTTTAAAAAAATGAAAAACTACCGTAAAAATGAAATTAAAAGTTGGGAAATGATGCTTGTTGACATATTTATTATAGTTGATAAGAAAAAAAAGTTTATAAAGTTAATATTGATGGAAGTAATAAGCGAAAAGTGAATGTTTGAATGGGAGAGGGTACATTTGTTGTTACACGACAAAATTTTTTTTTTCCTCTAGTGGTGCTGAAGTTCAACTTTTGCTTTTTCGTTCCTTTTTCAATTTTTATTTTTATTTTTTTGCTCAAGTTAAAACAATGTTTTTTACTTGGCCAGCCGTAGCAGACATGTCCTTTTCGAAGGCATCACCAGTTCGAAGTACATATTGAAATGTAGATTCATCACCAGTTTCTTTCAATAAGCCAACGACAGAAACAATATCCTCAGCGTCAAAAACCACGAATTTTTTGTCGGTTCCGTTGAAAGGTTGGACACGAGGAACGGATTTAGAGTATGGCGACACACCATGAGTTCTCATCAACTCACCATACACGTAATGGGACCCCTGTCTTTCCTCGAACATTTGGAATCTGAAGAAGAAAAGGACCTTGCAGACATACCAGTTGGATACCGAAGAGAAACGACTATATTTAAAAGAAATTCAGCATACACACAATAGAAACACAACAACAAACACTTACCTATTTTTATGAACAGCAGTAAACATCACATACTCGCCACCACGAGAGCTCGACTTGTTTTTTTCTTTTGACATGGAAGAAATGTACACCTGGTTGTCAAAAAACAGTTTGGCCGAAATTATCACTTCTTGACGAAGAAAACAATTGGGGATATTGACCTGCTTTGAACCAACCATTCGACTTAAACAATCCATTAAAGCTTTCAACCAAGGAAGAGTACGAATGTCACCTTTGATACAACTAGTCTTGTCCAATGTCAGCTTTCGGACCAAATTGAGTACAACCAATGAACCCGCATCAGACACATGGAAAGGAGACCATAGTTGAGGAGAATTAGGATCATTGTTGGGATGGGACATGTAATTATTGGGATTGTTGGCAACAGCAGTCAAGGCAGAAAAGTCAAATATTTTGGACAATTGAAAAAACTTGAAGATTTCCCGCGTTTCCATGATATTACCAGCATTTACACCTGGATGCATCGTTGATCTGATTCGTTTTTTGTAAGCTCCAATGGACCTTTCGAGAGATCTGGCTGAGTAGCATCTAAGGGGCCTAAAGAAAGTTAGTCAGTAAATATTATACAGTTAATAACTATTGGTAAAGGCAGCTTACCCCATTCGCTTGATCATGTAAGGAATATGATGCAGTTGATGCATATTGTACTTGAGGATCGTGCGAGAAATGGTCTGAGATACTAGGCAGCTGTCCAGATACTTGAACCAGTCATCGAAAGATCTTAATGACATTGGAGGTTAGTAAGGGTTAGGCTTGGTAAATATATGATTAATTGACTAATTACTTTTCAATCTCTTTCAGATCATCTTTGTTAATGGACCACTGCAAACTCAGTTTTACACCACGAGAAAGGGAAATCAACGCAGAGGCAGTACTTCTACCAGCAGTATTCCTACTACCAAAGATAGATGCAATCAGAGTGGGCACCACGTAAACCAGCCAGGCAATCCAATCGACAGATCGATACATCGACCGAGCATTTTCAGAGACAATACCCTGGAAGGAGCCATTGAAGTCAGAGGGAATATTACAACGAGAGTCATCCATGGATCGTTTGATTTTTATAAATTCGGCAGAAGAAAGGCAAAATGGATATTTATCTTCTCTACCAGCAAACTTGTAACGGTCGTTGTAACGAGGAGAAAGAATGTCAAAACAGAGCTTGCTGACGTTAGAGAACATGTGAAGCTCATCACACATGAAAAAATCAATCGACAGAAAGGTGTTTAAGCGTCCAAATGGTGTAGGGCTTTTGATCGCGTAATTGTTGAATTCGGCAGGCTATAGAGGTAATATATTTAGTATTGGTAGATGATTTCATAATGGAGCACTTACAATATCCTCCTCCAACAGCAACAAGGACTTTGATCTGATTGACGAAGTTCTGTCAATAAAATATTTGCCAAGTTTTCCACCATCAATTGGGCGCTCTCCTTTCACTAATTTGAATAAGAGAAATGTCAACGGATTTTCGTATTCTGTAAGGACTCGTTTACTTACCCAAGCAGAATCTACACCCATACGTGCTTGTATGACCACCAAACATCAACAAACGCTGGTTGATCTCAACGCCATCAGCAATCACACCAAGATTAAAAACTTTGGATGTAGCAACATGAACACCATTTTTTTTAACTACAATCGGGTTTGTACTCAAAGTATCGAGACTGCTGATTATAGGCCGTAAGTACGAACTAAAATTGGTTTTGGTATCTCCATAGAAGATAGCTACTTGAAACGTATATTCATCTGTATACCTATAGGGAAAATCATTACAATATCAGTATTAATTTTAGGACCTGGACTATATATATTTGAAATAATACCTAATGGAAGGATCGATGCTTGGAATTATTACGTGAACCATCACCATGCTTTGTCTTGAAACTTTAGAAGTAAACCCATCCACACAGAGAACAATGGCAAGGTCTTGCTTATTTTCAAATAAACCTTTTTCACGGAGTTCCTTGTAAGCAGCGCCTGAAAAAAAGTCGGTATATGGATCATCTTCTGTCATGGCATCGATTACATCTCTATACTGCTCTACCTCGGAACGAAATCCATCACAAGCAAGCATCTTACTCAAATGATCCCCGATATCTACCATTTTGACAACAGATTTCGCACTTCTGGCAGCACCGCATTCAGGACAAGCCGTTAATGTGACATCTTCAACAGAATCGAAAAGATAACAGCCTTTAGCGGAGCAAACTTCATGGGTACGAACAAAATCCAGTGGTATTTTCCTTCTAATCATGGCCATACACTCCTTCAATGCAGGTACTCTTTTTTTGGGAGATAATTCTAATGTAAGGTAGATTGGATTAACAAATAAGCTTACTTGAGGCCACGGGAAATGGTTTACTTACGCGACTTATTTCTGTTTACTAGCATTTCGACGAATGACTTGATGTTGGCTACGGCCTGCACCGTCATGTTGTTGTTGATGCAAATGTAGTTGAACTGTATGCTATCAAGATCATTTTGAGTAAAAGGGTAGTCAGGAATAACAACATTTTTGATAATGGGTCCTTCTTGATTGGTGTAATGGACAGATACAACTATTTTCAGGTAATGTTAGGTAATGTACCCAAAGGTAATAAATTTTCACCATCTAATGACATACCTTCTAAATTTTCTTCGATATCAGTGGAGTTATCTGTCGCGAAATCGTTAAATTCTGGGAGTTCTTCAAGCACACCTTCGTTGTCAGAATCCGGATCAGAATATCCACCGTTCAAAAACTTTTCGTGATCTAGTTCGTCTAGGCGAATCTCTTCTTCGCGTGGCAAGATCAAAACGTCAGAATCAATATCAACCATGCTAATATCTTCGTGAAATTCGACATCAACATCCATATTATCAGCTGGATCCGTAGAAGCAGCAGCACCAGAGGTGTCACGGGTTGGGAATAGGGACGAAGAAGAAGAAGAAGAAGAAGAAGCAGTATCAGAAGTGTCGGTAGTGATGGCAGGAGTAATAGGGGCATTACGGGAAGAAGCCATACTTCCAACGAGAAGTTCGGCTATGCCACGTTTGGGGACACGATTCGTCTTAGCTTTTTGGACTTTGTTAATTGGGGACGACATGTATATATCAAAGAAATTTGGATTAAAGTAATTGATGAAAGGAAGTATCTAACACTTTTTTGGGGAGCTATTTATGTATTTTTTAAAATCGCTTACATCATATATTATCAGCAGGAAACACGCAACTTTTCCTTTTTGGCTACAAGTCCTTGTCAAAACCAATCCTGTTTATTGTTGGTTCCTAAGAAACGACATGCTAAGCTATTTCCTTATCCAGTGACAAGTCCTGTCGAAATGATCAGGCCACGGTTATTTTAATTACATCAGTGTGTTACATGACATCATATCCATTTTGGCAGGCGAAGCATGGATTGTGATTGGTGCAGATTGACTGGACTACATGAATTAAAAGTGAGTGACAGAATATAAATTGCCTTGTAACTTTGATTTTTTTTTCTACAGATACATATCTATTTTTTTAAAAATGAGCACAAATAACTCCTTGCCTTCTCAATGGTTTAACGCTCAAGAAATCGTTGATTTAATGAGACCTATGGTTGAAGAGGTTGTTAGTTCTATTGTTCCCAAGCTGTTGAAAGAACATACTCATTTGCCTGAAGGTAAACATTGTGATTGTTGCAGCCATATCAAGAATGCATCAAGATCAAGTAACAGGACCGATATTGGCCCAAAATCTACCCAAGAAAAAGATGGTAACGTTTTCGGATTTAAAAAAAAGTTACGCATTTATTAAATACAAGACTTACATTTTATAAAATTATAGCAAGGGAAGCCGTGGCAATGAAACTTCGCAAAACCATCACAAAAGCCATGGATTATTACAAAGCAAAGTTTTCTGAATATGGCTTTGATGACAACATGAATCATTTGGGTAGGAGAACCATCGAAAAGCCAAACACCTCTTACACGGTCCAGCTCGTTATCGATTCAACAAAAAAGTATTTCAAAGGTCTCGATGGTTCTGTCAATTATGAAAACAACAATAAAGCTTTGTTGGCTTTAGAGGGTAAAGCTCAAAAGGCGTATCACAATACTCATCATCTTTGTCGAGAATTTTTGGCTGCATACCTCGGAGACAGATTTGGTGTTAATGGCGTCAATTGGTTGAAACTCAATAAGCATGAACGAAAAGAGATTACGTATATGATTGAAAGCATTGTCTACTATTGGAACAAACGCTCTGGTGATTCAGGGATTCCACCCGAGGATGATGCTGCCAGTCGTATCTTTGATCTTGATGTTAATACGCCAATGGTTCCATTGCATCTTGCAGACGCAAACTGGATCGCTTGTGAGATGGTGAAGTCTTTGTTGTTGAACAAAAAAAAAGATGTACGTAAAATTTAACAGTTATAAGAATTATCTATAAATTAACCTTATGGCTTTTTAGCGCAAAATTAATCACAATCTTTTTGACAATGTTCGTGAGCCCCTTTCCGGATCGATGTTGGGTGGTATGGCTAACCTCCGTGTTAATTCAAGTAATGCCTCTGGTCCCTCTCTTTCATCTTTTACGCGTACCATGTCCACGGATGACAATGCTTACGATGATATTCCGATGGAAGCTTACTCGATCACAAACGATGAAATTGTTCCAACTTTCTCTGTTCCTTCTAAGCCACCTACCACACCTACCTCATCTATGCCACCTACCTCATCTATGCTACCTACCTCATCTATGCCACCTACCTCATCTATGCCACCTACCTCATCTATGCCACCTACCTCATCTATGCCACCTACCTCATCTATGCCACCTACCTCATCTATGCCACCTACCTCATCTATGCCACCTACCTCATCTATGCCACCTACCTCATCTATGCCACCTACCTCATCTATGCCACCTACTCCATCTATGCCATCTATGCCATCTATGCCACCTACTCCATCTATGCCAACAATCACATCAGTACCCTCTCCTACTTCTGAATTTTTCGCATCTACCTCTCCCCCGACATCTTCCTCGCTTCCAGTCATACCTCCCCCTTCACCTTCTTTACCATCTCCTTCACTTTCATTACCCCCCTCTGGCCCCATGGCTTCATCTACTCCTTCTGGCTCGTCTGCTGTCTCTACTTCTTTGCCTGTCTCTTTGGATGTTGGTGACAAAAATAGCAAGAATAACAAAAGAAAAGCCAAAGAAGCAAAACAAAAGCCAGATAAGCGCCCTCCAAGATCGTCTCGTAGTTTAGGTGGGGAATTATTTTCTCTCTGAGTTTTAACCTGCCCTATTTAAAACTTTTTTTTTTTTTTTCCTTTTTTTTTCTTTTTTCTCTCTTCTTTCTTCTTTCTTCTTTCTTTAAATAAAAAAATAATAGTAAGTCTATAAATGTTATTATGTTCAGTCATACTGTATTTGAGCCAGCTATAAAACTAACACGATATATAGTTTTTTGTAAAAGGTATATCTTTATCATGTCTATTCAAGCACTTGTTAAATAAGCGACATCCTTTAAGGTAAACGCTACTATTATAATATTATTATCTGTTTGTTATCCATTTTATTAACTACATTCTAACCATAGTTATACACGTATGGTGTGGTAAGTGCATCGCCAAGTCCACTGGTTTATTGTTAAGGTATGTATTATAATCATAACAACATGTGTGCTTGTTATTAACATTATTATTCGTAGGTAAGTACTCCTGGCCGTGTCCTTTCGTTTTGAACAATAGTAGTCTGCCCTGTTAGTTAGTCTGTATAGATCTGCGTGGGGTTTACACCGTTTTTTTTTCTGCAATATCTATAACTACTCTTCGTGTTTTTATTTAAATAAAAGTCTTTTTTTTCAATATATACAATCCTAAATTTCAATATGTGCAAGGGTAGCAACCCATGAAATGTGTACGCTAGTCGTATTTTTAGCCAATACCATTCTTTTAAATAATAAGGTTACTACGTTACTATTTGCTGAAACTATAGCTTGTACTCGTCAGTATCGGTCCAAAAATTCGACAGATTATTTAAAAAATCGGTCCAATTTTTTGACAGATTATTTAAAAAATCCGTCCAAAAATTCGACCGATTTTTTAAATAATCGGTCCAATTTTTGGACCGCGACCGCCGGTCTAACTTTTTCAAAATCTTTTCAAAAATTGGACCGATAAAAAGTTTCACAGTGTTTGATAATCCTAAATATGATTATTATTGATACTGTTATATTAAATACTGAGCATTTACTTTATGTACATGCTTGATCTCATATCATCCTTCATACAAGTATAAGACATACATTTAAATAGTAACATTGATATGAAAACATATGAAGGTTACATCAGCCACATTGAGGTGCCCCAGCTATCTGAATTAAGAACTACATTTTCCCCTGAATATTGTGCTACAAGACATACACAGTTTAAGAATGAATGTTATTGTTATTGTTATTGACATCTTATTATGACCTTTCTATATGGGATCATTACATCCGAGTACTATCTGGATGAATCTACCCACGACCGTCATCAGCCCATCTGTGATTAATGTCTGAAATAATGTGTATATAAAGACCCCCTTTTATTTGTTTAATAAAGCCTTAGTTAATTTTTGCAAGTTTGATAATTTTCTTGTTTTTATTTTTATCAATCTACACCGATTTCCACAAGCGTAATGAATTCGGCTTAGGCTGAGCTCATGGGAGTACGACCAGTCACTGATCTTTAAATCTTTAGACAGTCTCCTCCCAAATACTTCTTTGCAAATGGCCGAAAGAGACAGCCTAACAGACTTCACAACCTTCTTCAGCTTGCTCCCTCACATTCAATGTCGAACGAATCCTTAACTTGCTTAAAATCTCCACCAACTTGACGCCCAATCTTCAAAATGACGGGGGATTTTAAAAAGTGAATCAAGGAGGATGGTAAAACATTCCAAGTAGGATCCAGATGTAATAGCATCACGGATGAGGCATAGGCAATCTGGACTACTGAAAGTTCTCCTTTAGCATTAGTGGTGATGTTGTATGGCCCCTCACACTCCAATCCTGTGACTACGGATGTTGAGCAGCTTTCCAATACACCATTAACTTCTACAAAATGAAATTTCTCGACCAGTAAATTTTTCGTTTCATTTACAATCTCGTCATATCCTCGCAAATATTGAATTCGAACACTATCAGGCAATGCAAGAGTTTCAGAATTGTCACTG